TATTGGTATCGGAAATTGAGAGTTGGACAATATCGGAATATCGGATATCGGCAGAAAAGCCAATATCGGACATCCCTAGTGTACAAACATCATATCCTGGTTTTGAGAAACCTGGATATGGATATCATATCAATAATAAGTCACTAATACACATGTCAAAGCACTCACTGTCAACAAGCCATCCAGCCTTTAAGACGTCCAGAAAAAGGTCTCGTTGGTTATCAAAAATGATATCCACTGTTCTTTAACCACCAGTGTTTAGACTCCAACAGAGGAATTCATATGCTGTTTCCAAGGGATGACTAAATCATTTTATTTTTTGGCCAATTTGAGGAAGCAGAACAAGTTGAAAGCACAACACCTGCCATTTTATCAACTTATAAAGTTGTTTTAACAAATGTGTTTGCTAAAGTTGCCAATTTACACATGCAGCAGAACCAGGATCAACTTTAGCATCTGTCTGGAGTCGTCTTTCTGGCCACCTGATGAAAATCTCCACTAATGTTTACTGGAAAATATGGATATTGGGTTTGGGTAGGTTGTGTGCAGTGGGTTTGCTGAACTTTTTTGCTGAAAATGATACTAAAGGGAAACAAACAGTAAAGTTTTGCGCAGTAAACCAAAACAATGAGCTGAAAGATGCTAAAAAGTCATTTGATCCAATGTTAAAATAAAAATACTGATTAGTGCAGCTTTAAGGAGGAACCCAAACACAGAGTAGACTGTGTGCATGCATGAATGCATAATCAATGCAGCAGTAAGGGGAATGAGTTCGCTTTAGAGAGTAAAATATCAACAACATGCTTGTTTTCTCCAGTCGCTCTTATTGACAGTTTAGGTTTATATACCTTCGATTTTATGTATATACAGTAGATGCCAAGGTATATGTCCAGCATGGCAGTGTTACCTGAGGAAAAAAAGGTGATGCAGGGATTGGGCCAGTGCTGCCTCATCTTGTAGGGCAGCACCCCTGGGATGGTCCAGAAGTGCAGGTAGGTCGAGATCCTACTGGCCTGGATGGCCACCAAGTTGCCACCCACTCCTACACAGGGGGAAGGAAAGACAGAGCGGGTGAGTAAATGACTGAATATACCAGTGAAGGAGTGGCACAAAGTAGAGCAGCCATTTTAATTGACTTCATCAACAACATCATGATTAATTATGTGTGACCAAAACATTTTCCAACAAATGTCAGACAGACTTATTGTTTCCCCAACCACAATGATTTGAAAATCTGATATTGATTTTGTAACATCACCATAAACTGAAACAGAAAATTACTTTCCACAACAGCTTTACAATCAGTTACACTTGATCTTTTTCATTGTCGCCTGCACACAAATTAAGCCAAATAATGACACAAGCTTGGCCCGGTTGGATCCGGCCTGGGGTTTACAGAGAGCGGAGTCCATCTTAGTAAGCCGCACAGGCCAAAGCACAGCTAAACTCTGGCTAGTGGAGTCACAGCAAGAGATGAACACAAAACAAAAGCTCCACCCGATATCTCAGAAAGACACGAGAGCAGCAACACGTGCGTATGGAAAGAAAATCAACCTTGTGCAGCCGTTTGGTTCCGACAGTGAAATATGACTCTGGCTGTGCAAAAACCATTATCTGCCTTCCCTTTCTGAATTTATGACAGATATCTTGTTTCTGACTAACTTTGTGTCAAGATGTCAGATCTGTTTGATAAGTCATTTGCAGATTTTTTAACCGGTCCCAGATGTGTCGTACTTCATAGCAACACAAACGCTCACCGTGGGGTTAAACATGAGCGATATGAGATAAGGTTTTATCCTCTCGTTCTGGTGGGAGTCGAGCATTTTTATTCACTCCTTCGAAGCCGCATTTCTGCTGAATGCAAAACAACTTTTCCAGATCCCACCGCCTTTACAAAGTCCAATTTAATTTTGCTGTTGACAAGGGTATCTGTGCCTAATTCAGTTACATCAAACACCTCTCCAAGTATTTACCCCAAAAAACAGCACAGATGTTCTTTTGTGAGATGGAAAAGACTTGGGGGAACTTTAAGTAAAACATAATACTGGTTTATAAGCAAGCCAGTGAGGGAAAATGGGAAATTCAAACCAGATTGGTGAATTTAGAATTGAGCAGAGAGTGGTGCAAAGACAGAGAGAGATTGAGAAACAGCGGGAAGATGGGTACAGACAAAATGAGAAACAGTGACAGTGAGAGTCGATGGTTATTAAAGGCCCTGTCAGCTGTGCCAGGACACTGGGTGTGCACCATTAGTGGTTTATATTGACTTCTCCACTATACTCAGTGGATCCCAGCATGCATCACCTCACAGCCAAACCACTTACTCTGAAGGCTGCTTCTTATTTGCCTCCACTTCTCCCTGTCTCACTGCATTTTTCATCATTCAAAAACAGCATTATGGGGTGAAAATCAGTTTTCTATGTGTATGAAGTAACTGCAAACTTCAGACATTGTTTCATTCTCTGATTTTCTACAGTCGATTGGCACTTTCTCATGGAGAAAAGAGCTGCATACAAATCCAAACAAGTTAAATTGTTAGGGATTGGACATGGGTAAGATTACAAAATTAATACACACCGCAAAATATTGTTTTCTCTCCATTTAGGTCTTGTAGTAAATCACTAACAGAGTGAGATGATCTCTCTTTTGCTTGAGGCTCTAATGCACTTTAAAAAGGTACTTTGGGTAATATGTAAAAATAAATATGGCCAGAAATTAACGAACATTATCAACAGAATGTGAAGAAGTTCTGACGTTATGTCAAAGACGTATACGCACTGTGTTGCAGAGATCTCTACTAAAGTTAGCATGCTAGCCAGCCCCGTCCTGTCATGCAATCAGTCCAACATGAGAGGACAAAGAAATAGAGAAACTGCTGTACCTTACTACGAACTAAGTTTGAACAGCATAGCCCTGATCGACTTCACCTCCATTCAGAAGATGACAGACCTGACAAAGCATGAAGCATTGGTGGAGCTGAAGTGTAAACTTCCCCAAATCCAATAAAGAACAGGACAGAGTCGCTAAGGTTAGCCTAAACTTTGATGCTACACAGTGGATGTGCTATTGGGAAGGTTTTTCTTTTCTTACATAATCTGTAACCACACCAATTAAGGTAGTGTGAAATGCTCCTCGGTTATAGAACAAGCTACAGACATGCTAACGTTTGCAGCTAATGTACCTGTCTGTAGATAAAATCAACAAAAAGCTATATTATAGCATATTCGATTCCATTTCTGCCAAAAGATCCTCCTAAATGTTACACACTGCATCTTTAAAGCAACTCGTAAGTGTTCTGAAAGATGGCAAAAATAGAACTTGAGATGATCAAAGCAGTTTGATGCTCCACGATGGCCACTGGTGCGTCTGAAATAGCTGGTGCTTCTGAAAACGTTCCAGTGGTTTTAAGGCTTCATTTACAGGACATGTTGCCAGCGCTGCATGGTTTACCCCATTAACTGTAAATCATGTATACAGCCAAACATTTTCCAAAGTATCAAATGATTTTAGACTGGTTTCCCTTCCTCCCAGACTGCCACTGGTTTCAGCTCATTTCACAATGGCAATTCAAGAACTGATCACTGCCCTTTTGTGTTAGTGCTGGTTCCTGTACCAGCTTTTTGGCACTGATTGAAAGGTGGCTATAGCACAGAGTATCAAAAACTGCTGGCACCAAATGTCTGGTCAGACTCAGTTGTTAATCAGACAGTTTCTGATGATTGTTGATGCAAGCTCTGAGGCTTCAGAGTCACTTGCTGGAAACAAGACTTTTCAATAGGAGAAATAACCAAATTTACATTACTCTTTTAGTTCCATTATTGTATTTCTGTGTTCCATTTTCTGACAACGCCACTCTTGAAAGCAATGCTTTACAGCATTTAATTTTGTAAGGTCACCTGTCGGGCTTCCTTAAACTCACCTGCATTTTAAAATCACTGCATACAACTGCACAACCACGCAATATAACTTGTGAACAAGATAATAAGTTTAAGGTGGGGAGAAAAAAAAAAAACTACCAGCTACCAGTGGCTGCCTGCAAGGAAGGAAATCAATCAAAAAAGTCATTTGATGAAGCCGAGCTATGTTGTTGGGGATTAGTGGTGCACTCAACACCAGATCTCAGTGAAATCTGAGTCAGGAGCATTACTATTCTGTTCTGAGAGCTGGACTGTGCTGTCAGCTCAGTGTTTAGTATGCTGCTCACATCCACACAGGAAGCACACAAAGAGCACAACCTGTACCTCCAAATAAGGTTTGACTTTGAAATGAATGCAGTTGCCACATCAGGATCCACTCGGCCATAATGTAGGTTTTGCTTGTTTTAATTGAAGCTTCTATATGAGTCCTTCCTGCTGCTGACCGCAGTCACGTTTTACATCAATATAATGTCAATATCAATACAATTGTGATTGCATCTCTATCTCATTACATACTCTACATGTGATATGTTTTTGTGTAGATTCACCTGTGCCCTGCTGACGTGTCTTTAGCATTGTGCTTGGAGTCATACAGGCACACTAATAGAATCTGTGAGTGTTTCTGAACTGTCACTCTGGACAACAACATCCAATGAATGGCTAAAATGCCAATTAAACTCGCAGTTTGATTACTCCTTGTGTCACCGTTGAGCTTTAAAGATCAGAAAGATCTGCTTACCGTTGATGACGGGCGTAAAGACAGCCATGCCCTCAAAGTTGGGATCACTCACTGTCTTGTCCAATATAAGGCCTCCAAAACTGGAAATCACAAACACAGAGGGAATCAGAACCGCATGCCAATTATTAATTCAGAAAAATTAAAAGGTGTTGGAGTGCATACCTGCTAATGGACATGGCTACTATTACTGGCTGCCACCCTGAGCGCAGAACCTCCTTGATCGGAGGGCTCTGTCGGGCCACCAACACCCACAGTGGGATCAGAGCCAGGAAGACCAGACACACAAGGGGGGACAGGTACCATACATCTGTGGGACAGGGACAGGCACGAGGAGGTGAAGAAATAAAAATACTTAGTTTATTGGTCACCAAAAATAAATATAAATAAAAACCTGCAACACTTTCAGACAAACCATGAATCAAGCAATAACCAGCACTACTATTAATAGTTGACACTTAAACACAAAAAGCTACCCCTTGTAGCTAATGACTATGAATAACTAATGACAAACAAAATAATGGTGAAGGAAAATAAACTGTGGACATTAATGAGTTATCAGGGAAACCCCTCTAGAACAACAGGTTAGGCATTTCAGATGTTTACCCTTTTTGATACACACAGATAGAATGTCGATTTTTTTTAAATGATAATCCGTTGCTAATTTGTGGTCCAGTATTGCCATTGTGCAGACCTAAGAGACATTTATAATGTATTATTATGTGAGTAACTCCTAGTGGCAAACAACTAAATACAGTATGAGTATAGTGTGATAGAAACTACTGACTTGTGCAAAACAACTTAAATTTCAACATGTGCTTTTTGATGCAGTGTAAATATTGTTTAAACATTACATTAATATATTGAATCACTTATTTTTTATTTTTTTTTGAGTATTTCTGCATTTAATTTGTTCTAAAAGAAAATCAACATTGTCTATTATTTAAGACACAATACATTGGTTGAATCAAATATTTGGATTTTATCATCACATGTCTTAACAGTTTTCACTGCAGATTTGATGTTTTCACCTGTGACAGAAAAGAATCAGTGGGACTTTTCCTTATCATACTAAGTATAGTCGTTAGTCATTAATGGGTTAACAATGCTATGATGAAAGAAGTGATGGCAGTAAAATAAAAACCTGACAAGATATTGTATACTGGTATGTGTAGTTATATCACACTGGCCTGAAAAAGTACTGTAATATTACACATCTCTGTTACAAATCTATTGACATCAGAAGCTTTACAAATGTAATATTTATAGCTAGGTATCATCTTAAATGATGGTATACCCACAAAATTCCCACCTTGAGTATACTAAATAAAAGGCTTTTATACATTTCAAGTCATTAATATTTATGTCAAGTTAAAAGCCAACAGCCATCCATAAAGTACACATGCATCCATTCACACATGTAGAAACAGTGAGATAAACAGATGAAGGATAGGGACACTTACATAAAGTATCTTGAAAAAAATGAGACAGAGAGGTACTGTGAATACAGGAAGCAAGCTACACTACAATACTTCAGATGAGCTGTCTGAAAAAATAAATATGACTTCTGCTGCCATCTTGTGTTCTGGTTGACATGACAAACTTAAAACTTAGCTTAACTTAAAAAATGACACCTGTCTAAACCCCATGTGCCTCCTTGGTCTGCCAGACAGTCATATTAAAGACGTCAAACATGAGAGGTTATTCAATCTACTGGCTTTTGCTGCCAGGAAGAACATTTGGTTCTTTTGGACCAAGGATGTTACTCCAACAAAAGAATCATGGCACAGTTTTATAATGGAATGTAGTCCCAATGTGTTCACTACTTGGTGGACGCGTTCTATAAAGTTTGGGTCCCTTCATATTGGACACACACTGTCGTCTTCCTTATTGCAAGGGTTTCTTTTAACCTTGTTTGTTTATATACTTAACTGTTTCTTGGAATTTGCCATCTTATCATGTCTGAGCTGTTTTGTTCTTTTTCTTTTTGTTTAAATAGCATGAATATTATATAAAAATTGACATTGTTAATGACGGTATGTATGACTCCAGATGGAGAGTTGTGGGTGCACACAATCTCCCAGATTCCCTCACCACACCAAGAGCACGCAGATGTGTGACACAGAAAGCGCTGTAGCTATCTGTGCTGTGCTTCAAGGCAGGGCGGTTGTCCCCTAATGAAGGTTGTGGTTCCTGCTTCCTCCTGCCACATGTCGATTACTTGAGCAAAGATACTTGTAACCCAATTTGCGTCAATGCCATTGCATTGTGTGACTGTGTATGAATGAGTTAGTTTCTGTTCACGTAGTGTAAAAGCACTTTGAGTGGTCCGAAGTCTAGAAAGGCGCTATACAAGTACAGGTCCATTTACCATTTACCATCTTCCTCATGACTCCGCCTCACCTATATATTCATAGAGTGTGCTGCTGACCCCGGCCAGCAGGGACAGGGTTATCAAATCACCCAGACTGGCAGCGATGGGGGTGGCCACGTTGTCAGGGTTGATCCCCACCTTCCTGGAGCCGATGATCACTCCGATCATCACCAAGCCTGTGGGGGCGGAGGGGAAATGAGTTACAAATGAGTTACTCTATAAGGAACGAAACCAAAAAAATAGGACGATGGAGAAACAGTCAATAAAGAGGATTTATTTTATTTTTTTCAGAACGCCGACTCTCAGAGTGACAGCTTGCTGAAAAAGAGCTGAAGACTACAACGAGCTTCTGAGCAAAATAAGAAATACAAGAAAAGAGGAATATTAAACATGGCAGGGTAAGGAGAGGAAAACTGGGAAAGAGGTTACTCCCCGCTGAGACATGACTCAAGACATTAGCAAAAAAAAAGGACCAGGGGCAATTCAGTTCCCTCACTCATCACGTCTGCTGAACACTGGAACATTTATGGTGAGGATAAATTATGGATAATGCAGTTATAAGTTGAGCGGAAAGGGTGGTGTGGGGATAAGTGCACCTGCTGCTATAACTGGACCTATTTATGGTGTCTGGTTTAACAATCACTACCTCTACATGGACTAAATATTCCGGTATTTGCCGTTATTATGAAATAGACAATATTCCTACTAAACTGTTAACTTGGCGAATGAAAATGAATATTCCACTGATATTCCCTTTTACATGCAGCTGTGCATACTCTGATTAACGTAACTGTTAATGACGTACTGTGTATGTCCAACAGAGGAATTTCCCTCCTTTTCATTTGTTAGAAGTTGAACAGCTGGAGCAGCTTGAGCCATTCAGCCTTTGTGCATCAAAAGAGAATGTTTTCAAAGGTTTCCACTGGTAGCAGACTTGTTTGTGAACACAGCCTCCTTCTTTCATTCGTTTAACAACCTTCTAAAGGTGGGTGTTGTGATATTTGCACATATCCAGAAACCGGTTGATATCTAAGTCCTTCATAATGTTCAAAAGTAGCTGTGTTTCTCCTTCCTACCAGGAATGGGGCCTTTTCTTTTGTGCATCTACAAAAAAGCATACACATCCAAAAAGGGGCGCATACAGCGAATACTCTGTATACATGTCTAAAGAGTGCTCCTAATACTTTAATCACATCAGCATATCTTACATGTCCTAATCGGAAAATGCTACATTCAGAATAAGGACGAATTAGGAATATCCAAACAGAATATGCCATTGACATGACCCTTCTCAAATGTGGAATATTGTCCTATTTGGAATAACAGTAGAAAATGAGTGTGCATGTAAACCTAGTCATTGTGAGTAAAAAGAGACAAATAGAAGCTACATTTACCTTTTGCTTTTACTGAAGGATTAGTGTGCCATTTTAGAAAATACTCTTAATCCCTTTGTTGCTGAAGGAGATTGGTGCCACTCTTGTGTCTGTCTGTTAAATATGGAGCTGGAGCCATTACACAGCATTTACACATTGATTCAAGTATTTTCCTCTCTGCAGTTCCTGATAAACCCAGAATATTGATGCCAGCTGACAGAAGGTCCAGTAGCATAGTAGAATACAATCGCTTTGGCTCAGTTTTCTCAGTTTCAATGTGAAAACTCAGCATGTAACATTTAGAATGATCTATTGGCAGAAATGGAATATTATATATATTCATAGGTATGATTTCATTTGTGTATACACCTGAAGATAAGAATTATTGTGTTTTGGTTACCTTAGAATGAGCTGTTTGTATCTGCATACACCTTCTGAAAGAATGTTGTTGAGCCACCATGTTTCTACAGTAGCCCAGAACGGACAAACGGAAAACTGGCTTTAGAAAGGGCCGTCTGTGTTTATCATGCATTTCTGGCAACCATAGCTTCTTGGAAGGGAGGGTGAAGCAAGTGGGTTGCAATCTGCAACTACACCACTCGATGTCACTAAAGTCTACACACTGGACCTTTAATACAAAGAGCCAAACTGACAAGTGACCTCTACATAAATTACACATTTTTACACACACTCTGCTTTGATGAAAATTTGCAATTGACTATTTTTTGATAACGACTTTAACGAGAATTGTGATTTCCTAATAAACCTTCTGCTTGATGTTTCACCTAATTTGATTCAATGTTTTCATTTTGTGGCTGCTGTGTGAGATTTTATAGGGTGAAATTTAGTGCTATGGCATTTTGTGTTAAGAGTTTTGTAAATTGGAACTTGAGCCAAAACAATCAAAAAAAGCCAGTAATAAATGTTGAGTTTCATTCAACTCCTGATGCAAAACAATCCCTGGTTACTTACCTAAGGAAAGAGCGGCTACAAAGGCAGTGGTGATGCTGCTAGCACAGAGAACAGCCGCCTGGTCCAGTTCAACCCCCCCTCTAGAAATTGCTCCTAAACACACGGCTGCCACTGCTGCGAGGAAGCCCACCACTGTCGCCTGAACCTGCAGAGAATAAAGAGACGAGACAATCAGAATAGTTTACTGGAGTGCAACAATGAATGTGACTGACTATAGCTAAGATAATATGTTAACACATATAACACTAGACACAAAATACCAAAGGCACCTAAACAAAGTATCTCAATGGTTATTTTCTTATTTTTTCCTGAACTGAAAACAATAAACTATGTGAGTATACAGTATACAGTATGTTACCTGTATGAGAGCCAGATTGCTGCACACCATGGTCCACTGTTTATCAGGGTCGTCCATTTGGCCCGTGTTGGCCTACAAACATAGAAATACTATCAGTCATTTTAATTAGAATGTGGAAGGAAAGGCAACAATTTCCATAATTCAAGTTCTATCGGTCTGACAAAATGGAGAATAAAGTGTTACAATTACATGCTGACAACAATATTATAGCTCACTGTTTGAGGCTCAAACTGAAAGGTAAAGACTTTTTCTTTAAACCCGGGGTTTGAACACACAGAGATTAGATCACAGCCCACAAAGTATACTGTAATTATGTTTTACATACCAGGTTCCTACTGTTAGGTACAAGGGAAGAAGGGAATAGGGCAGTAACATTGGCATTGGCATTTAGGAGGGACCTAGTAATAAATTAGACTGCTTATTTAATCACCTAGTACACATTAAATAAAAGATGCAGACAGGGGAACAACATACTACAATACAATAGCTATGACATGAAAGGAAACCCAAGTACCAGAGGCAGTACTAGGTTCTCCTCTTTTTCCATCAGATGGACCTTATATTCAGAATCAGGTCTATTGACAAACAGGTTTCACATACAGGAATTTGCCTTTGTAAGTTAGTACATAACAAATAAACAGAGAAAAATATAAATTAAGATAAAACATAGAGACAATAAAAAGAGACAATATATACAAATATAAAAAATAGAGACTATATGTTAATAAACGAGTGAAGAGCTGTACAGGTATGTGCAAAATATCGTCCACTGGGATCCATTAAATACTACACCCCAAAGCATTACTGTTCCTCTGTATTTATCATCATTTTAAAAACATTAAAAAAAAAATATATATAT